GGGCAGGCCCCCGGGGTGATGCAGGTGTGCACCCCACAGCCAGGGAAGGCCTAGCTTTCCGGGACCTTGGCTTAGTTTCTTGGGTGAGATGTGGGGGTACAGATCGGGAGTACTGTCCCTTTGTCAAAATTTCTGGGGAAACCCTGGGACTCGCCCTGCCTCCCGGCCACTGCCAGCGGGTCCTTAGCGCTGTCGGTTGCGCGCACTGGAGCAGTCTTCCCCACCGCGGGCAGGAGAGCCCCGCGAGCTCTCCCGGACATGTCGGGTTCTAAAGGAGGGGGAGCCGAGCAGCCACTTCAGGGACTGCACTCCGGGGTGGCCCGAGGCTGGGAGGCGCGCTGGCCCAGCGAAGAAGGCCCCAACCTAAGACAACCGGGGGCGTCCGGGGCGAAGGTCTCCATCTACCGGAGCCACGGCCTTTCGGGCATCGCTCCATGAAGGCCAGGGAGGAGAGGGGCATGGGCCAGCGACCCGCCCACCTTTCGTTCGGAAGTCACCCCAAGCCTACAGGCAGGTTTTTCTGTCTCCTTTGCGGAACACTATGAGGTTGTTACACCGATTAAACGAAGAACACAGAAGTCTCTGGATCTGCTGGACAGAACGCCGCTAAAAACTGGGTTGGCTGTAAGCTGATAATCAGGTAGCTGTGGTCAGACACCCACTCCAGAACCTCCGCTACTCAGAGACCACGTTATCACACGCGACGTCCATTAGGCCCCAGTAATCCGCTATCAACGCATTTTAGAGCCATTTGAATGTTAAGGAGATTTTTATTAATGGTCCATGATCCTAAAATGTGACTATTGGTTCTAGGAACAGATTTTAACAACTCAGGGCTATGATGAGTGATTTTCTGCTTTCCTTGTAGCCTAAGGCCTCAAGAGATTTCATTCGGGAGATTAGGGGCAAGACCTAAGGGAGAGACTCCTCACCCCACCAAGGACCTGACTCTAAAGAGTACTTTCCAGCTTATATGTGGGGAACCTGAGATAGAAGGGAGCAGGCCTGTGGCTCCTGAAGGCAGCATTTGCAAGTCCTTTAATGGGGAGTCCAGGGGAACAAAAAAGCAATCGACAATTGTATGGCTACTAGAAACTGGCAGCTTATTTTTAAAGAAGCCTTCAGCTGGAAATGTCACCTAGTGATGTCAAGTAGACTAAGAAATTCTTAATCGAAAGGCCCCCTTTGCACACCTGCAGTAGGCAAATTAAGGCAGGAGCAGTAGAGAAGGTAGCAGAGGATTCTGATTCTTGACTATCTTTTTTCCTTGTGGTGCTGAAACAGAAGTCAATCCAAACTTTGCCCACTTACCATTATATTTTCAGTGGGATTTGTTTTGGTGTTGTTTCTCACCCCCCCCCCCACCCCCGCAAAATACCGTGTTTCCACTAAGAATTAAAAGGGGTGGGGAGATTAAGGAATAAAAGTGAATCATAGACCTCACGCTGTTTGACTTGCCCTCTAGGAGAAAAACAAAATTTGAAGCGCCCCTCCCCCTAGTGATAGCCTGGCTTCCCCGGCACCTGCAGTTATCTTTGACCAAATGGGTTGGACTTGGTAGGGATCCCTTATTTGAGTTTGCTTACTGTTTGTTTGCAGTCGACAGCAGGTTGGTTTTTACACTAAAATACACTGCTTGCAAGAGAGGAAGTCTGGCCGTTTCTCTTTAGCATTGGGAGGGGGGTGGGTCTCCCTTGGTTTTGAGGACTGCTGCATGGTAGAAGGCCTTTGAAACGCAGGTCTGCTCCCTCCTTTACAGCCACTTCAGTATACAGAAACTTCCTCTAGTTCCCCATTTGGTTCCGTGTCCTTCCAACTGCTTCCATCAGAAAAACTACCCTTTCCAAATAGTGCCTAGATTTGGTTTCCATCAGGTAAAAAAACAAAAAGCAAACACCGTCCCCCGCCACCACCACACACATTATTATTGAAGGTCTCAAGTTGCTATTAACAGTTTGAAAGAGATGCTCCAAGCAATCCTACACAACATGTCTCAATACACCGGAGCACCACGGTTTCACATGTAATGTTAATTCTGTCCGAGACAAATCCTATAATCTGTGCAGTTTCAGAGCCTAATACCAAAAAACATGGGGATGCGTTTTGTTTGGGGTTTTGCTCTCCCCATTCCAGGTGAAAGTCCCAGGGGCTGCCGGTCTTTTCTGCCACACTAACCCAAGGGCGGAAATGGGGCGACTAGGGGAATCAGGTTTTATCACAGCACCCTGCGCTGACAGGCTGAGGCGGTTTAGAAGAGAAAATCAGAGGTGCTCAGGGCACCTGGTCACAAATCTGGGCACGCAGATGCCTGATGGGGGATTGGACCCTTTTGTGGAACAAAAAGGAGAGAGATAGCTGGTCATCTTAAAGGTCTCGAAGAAAGCCAAAAACCCAGGCGGAAGTCATGGCTGACTCGGATCCTGTATCTTCCTATTCTGGTTTTCCACCATGTTTGCTTCCTTTGCATGGGATGCGCTGGTCTCCTGCCTAACTCCTTTGTGTTCGTCTTTTGCATGATTAAAAACACCTTTCTGTATGCAATAAACCACCACCTAGCACTGGCACGCCTGATTTTGGGTTACAGCTTTGTCCGGGTAACAACAGAGACGTTCTCCCTGGGTGTGAGATGCGGGTTCGAACATGTGGTGTGCGCGCCAGGGCTAGCTGCTTCCGGTTAAGTGGCCGCGGGAACGTGACTGCCGGCCCCTGTCCTGCAGGTAACCGGAATGGGCTGCCAGGCAAGTTGGCCCTGCCCGGGACGCCGAAGGGACCGCTTCCCCATTCCAGAGCTGGCCTATGGCCTTCAGGGCCGCTGAGTACTGCGACGGGTCCGAAAAGGAAGTAGGCACTGAGTTAAAAAAAATATACTTATCTATCTAGAGGACTAGGAGAGAGAGGATGAGCCAAAGGAAACTAGGAATGGCAAGGGCTTCCCCTAAGGCCTCAGCTTAGTGCCGGGGGAGCCCCCAGCGCAGGGCCAGACTCCCCCAAACCCAGTAGCCGAGGTACCCGGCTTTCCTGGGAGGATCCCCAGGGTCCCGAGGCAGGCCCAGCTGGGTCCCTTCAGCTCGGGACGCAGGAGGCCGCAGACGCCGCGGGAGCCCCCGCGGTGGCGGCCTCGCCCTTCGCGGCCTGGAGAAGAGGCCCCCTCCCCAGCCGTCTGCGGCTCATCCTCCCGGGAGACTGGGAAGCTAACGGCCGCGGGCCCCGCCGGGCTTGCTTTCGCCGTCCCGGCCCCTTCTCCCCCGCCGGTGGACCCACCTCGCTGTCCCTTCCGTCGGTCTCGGTTTTAGTTCCTTGGGGTGCAGGGCGCTGTCCTCTCCGCTGGGGCACCCCACCCCCAATCCTCGAAGCCTGCCTGACCCCTGCCCTCCGCCAGGCCGCGAGGTTTCCCAGCGACGGGCGCCCCGGCCCGCAGCGGACCTGGAGGCCTGACTGCGGGGCTCGGGCGGGGCCCGCGCGCGGCTCCGGCTGGCTGCGCACTCCCGCGGGCGCACAGGCCTCGCCACCCGGCTTCGGGCCTTGCCGCGGCCCGCAATGCCCGGGCCCTGGCGCCGCCGAGGCCTGAGGACGAGGCCCGGGGGGGTGGGGGTGAGAGGGACGGGCTGCGGCTCAGGAGAGGTCCCGGGTGCGGGCCAGGGACCGAGCCAGCCCCGAGAGAATCAGGCACACCCGGCGAGGCAAGAGCCTCAGTCTCGCCCGGGCCAGGCCCGCCCGGCTGTGAATGGGGCGCAGTGGGCGGTGCCAGGCTGGGGAGTCTCGAGGCAGGGATGTGAGTACTGTTCCCCGGTAACTCCGCCTGGGCACTGAGGAGTTAGAAAAGCCGGCTCTTTAGCCAGAAGCCGAGGGCGCGGGCCGCGGGGCACCACGTTCCTTCAGGCGGTCTCGCCGCAGCCTCCCGGCGTCTTGCGCCTGTGCCGGCGGCCGTGCGGGCCTGGGGGGACATCCCCAGGAAACCGGATTAGCGGGCACCGTGTGGGACAAGGGTTGAGGAAACCCACCATTATCTAAAACCTGGAGGTTTCGAAAGCCGGAACTCAATTGAATTGATTGAATTTCTCTTCTTATCTGGGAAGGAAAGAAACACTCCCAAGGTGAAATACAAAGGGCCAAGAATTTCTGTGGGAAAGATAAAGGTTTGGGGCAAGAGATCTTTGTAAAGCAACTACCCCCACCCCCATCAGGACCGGTCCTCCAAAACGAAGCTTCTATGGCCGCTGTCTTAATTGCCGATACGCAGCTGAAGTAGCTCCCTGACCCCTTTGGAGGACGGCGTCATTTCGGTACCAAGCATCACCATTATTTGGCTTATTAACTTCATTAAAACCGGTCTTGACTAGGAGTGGAGATCGGAACTCTCTGGATGTCTTTAAGCCATTGCTCGCTCCCCGCCTCCTTCCCTCCCTCCGCTGCCTTCCGTCAGGGGGAATTCATTTCTTACTTCGCCTTCGATTCAAAGGTACTTAACTGCGTGGTCTTCGTTAAGCGAAGTCGTGCAGAGGTGATGAAAAAACTAGTTTCAGAGGGTGCCCAGTGCCTCTTCTTTCTGACCTTTTTTTTAAGTTTCAGGAGAGAAACTGCTAACTGCGTTGTTTGCTGAGTAGCCCAATGTTCATCGTCACTATTGTTTTTAAAGAAAGGGCAATCTTTCCCCGCCCCTTGCGGGACATCCTGCATACTGAAGGCAATGGAAGAAAATGGTTATTTTGGTTCTGCATTACTATTGCAGAAGAAAAGCTGGGAGATTAAGACCCTGAATCTGGGCAAACCTGTAAGCAATGACTCAGGTCCCAATTTAACTTGGTGTAAACTACGCTATGTTGAAGGTTATCAATGGATACTGAAAACTTGCGATCAAATTTGGCCTCAAATGTTGGTTGCAAACTGTTGCATTTCTTTTGCCAGTGAACCAATTACTGTACTTACTAGGAAAGAGTACAGAGAGTTCAAGGGAGCATGCGCAGCAGGGACCGGAAAAATGAAATAGCCAGAAAACAAAATGGTTGCAACTGCTAACCTTCATTTAAAACGTTACAATCAAGAGTCACTTAATTTTGGTCAAATATAAGAGCTTAAGAAGCTTAAAATGAAATTAAATATTGCTTTTACCTGAGGAGCACCGTGATCATTGGCCCACTTGTCTTTTCTGGTGACTGGTTTACAAAATGCAGGTACAACTGAAAAGGGACCCATTTTTTTTCCCCTTCGGCACTTTCTTAAACACACACATACAAAAAAAAACTGACCAGGGTGCCTTATGTTCAGCTACTGAAATTATAGGTTTTAAAACTTTTCTGAAACTCTTTTGTTCAGAAATCATTTCTGCCTGAATTGCTTTCAGATTCTGATTACACTCCCTCTCATGTTTACCTCAGATTTTTTGGAAGTTAGAAAAAAGATCCCCTTAACCAAATCAAGAGAATAGAAACAAGAAATTCTTGTCATTCTCATGTTTTCAGAGATACTCCAATTCTCCTCCTCCCTCTTAAAAATTTGATCTATTTTAAAACATACTAATAAAGTGCCTAAGAAATCGTTCAGGTTTGCGGCAGGGAGGGAAAAGAAAGAACGAGATCCTATTGATTGCTAGGCTCTCCAAACTCAATTTCAGAGCAATCCTGATGAAAGTCACAAACAGTCTACATGCCACTGTCATTCATATCTAGTTTATCCATAGATTAGCCAAGAAAAAAAAAAAGTAAAAATAAGTTTGTTAATTTCCTCTCTGCCCTAAGAAAAATGTGTTTTGGGAAGGAGAGGCTGAATGTTGGCTTCTCATTTGTAAACAGTAGTGTAAAATTAAACTGGACCCAATGTTGTGCTAGAACCATTTTAATATAATTATACATATCTGCCAAATCCAGGAAGAAAAGGTTTATGCATATATAACTTTTCCAGTTAACATCTGCAAGCATAAACGACAATGATCTCAGTTTAATAATCCATCAGGGTCAGGGCAATTGACCAATGTCTCTTTACTGCTAGGCTTACCAACAGTAAATTACAGATGAATTAGTGTCCTTTTGCTTCTCTTCTCTCACTCTCCTTGTCCAGAGACATTTTGTCGTAAAGTTTCAGTGCAGCTCACCTCCAGCCAAAGGTAATCTTTTTTGATCAGTACTCAGTTGCTCTGAATTTTGCTTATAATTATAACCTATTTAATCACAGAAGAACCCCTGCAGAGGCGGAGTTCAAGGTTGCATACAATAACAGGAGATCACAGTTTTGAAGTCTAGCACAGATTAAAAACCACAGATGTACCATTTATAAGACACACACTGATTGTCTCTTAAACTACATATGGACTCCTTATGAACATTATTTTTTAAATAAAGTAGTGCATCTAGGACAATCAGTCGCACAATTCACACAGCCCTGAAAAGTTTTTTCAGTGCCAACTACCAGTTGGTCATGAAACGTGAATGAGCTGGAGACACTGTTCATTCCTAAGATTCAACCAAGGATTGGCTAAAACACTGGAACACCTCTGCTTAAGAAGGCTATGATCTTCCCTCCCTTCCTTCACAACTTAGTTTTGTTTGATTTTATTTTTGGTGGTGTTTGGTTGCACATGGCTAGAATGCTTTTGATTACTTTGCAAATCAGGAAAACCAATTATCTAAAACTATGACAGGATCTTAAGTAGATTGGTTTGTCCATTTCAGGTTGCTGGTTGGTAGGCCCCTCTAAGGCCCTTCATTTTTTCCTTCTATGCCTCTCGGAACTTTGATCAGATGAGTCTGAGCATCATCCCATCTAACTCTTTTAACCAATGCCTGGCTAAAACTGGAATGTCCAGCCCAGTATATTTAAAAATCACCCACAAAAAGAGGTTCTACAGGTCTTCACAAAACCTGGAATTTCCACGAGGATGTCTGATCTTTATAATCCAAGCAGTCAGCATTGAAGTTAAGCTTCCAGGAGGCAGTTTGGTCTTTATAATCCAAGCAATCGGTGGTTGAGTTAAAACCCAAGCTTGAAGCTCCATATCCCTGGGTGGAAAGAGAAGCTGGGGACTGATTGAGATGGCTGGTGACTGCATTGGTACCCATGGGACTGAGTGTGGCCCCTGGTCCGGGAAGCTGGTGATGCATAGGGGTCAAATAAGATCCACAGTCCATGCCCCCAAAGTAGGAAGTTGAGCCAGCATATCCTTGACTATAACCTGAAGCCTGAGTGTAGGTCATGGGATAGGACCTCTGCATGCAGGAAGAGGAGGTGGACAAGGGATCTGACAGTGGGGAGATGGAAGCTGGGCTCCAGATAGACACGGGAGCACTGCTGCTGGCAATGGTTGGGACTGAGGTGCTAGAGGGGGGAGTGAATTGGCCACTTGTTCCACTCTCTGAACTCACTTCCCGAGCTGGAGAGGTCTTCTTTTTGGCAGGTCTCACTTTGTTTTGACCTCCATTCTGCTGCTGTTGTTGTTGCTGGCGGCACTTAGCTCTTCGATTCTTAAACCATACCTTGGAAGGGAAAGAAATGTCTTTAACACAGTTTTGGTAACTCCCTAAGGACAAGAATGGTTCCCAGATTATACATTTATCTTACACAGACAGATCAGCTGAACACACAATTTCCCCTGCCACTGAAGACCTATTAGGTGGCACTCTCACACAAACTCATGGACTTGTAAGAAAGTTGGGGAGACTGTCTAAAAACACTTGCCACTGCCTTATTTCTAGCCCGGAATAATAAAATTTAAGATAATCCCCCAAATCATATGGCTAGAAACTCTCCGCTTCACTTTCCTATCTTATTTCACCTCGAGTACACACATACACATAGACCCAGCTATATCTTGGAACACTCTCACAGGGGATTAAAATGTATTGATGTCTTTTTGGAGGGAAATACATGAGAAGTGAGGGAAAGCAATTTTACTGTTAAATGCTAACAGGAACAGCCTAAATTCATTTACAGTTCATCTTCCAGGAAGCAACTTCTAATATGGAGGTTGGGTGGTCCCATCACCCTTCTTTTTGTCTCTCTTAGACTCACAAAACAAAGCTCCAAGGGGAAGACATAGTCTTGTTGAGGAAAGAGGTTTGAAGGTCACTATTTGCTGAAAGCTTCTTTGTGGTAAAAGGAGGGACTTATATGTACTCTGCTTTGAGCTGCAGTACAGACCTGCTAGTCTCCAAGACTTGAGTCTGTGCCTTTAGAGTAGAGCCACTCAGCACATAGACTCAGTCTCCTGTGCTGTGTTCCCTGGCTTACCACTTTAATCCTCTGCTGCAATCTTGACAATTCTCTTTCCCAGCCCTGTTCATGTTCTGCAATGAAGAAGCTATGATTGGTGTATGAGGGGGCTGAGAAGAGAAGCTACTGGCATTTTCTGGAGGACAGGTCCTTAGCTGAACTTTTGAATGAGCTCTCTGTATGGGTGCCATCCCTGTGGTAAAAGTGATGCCACCATGGCCAAGCTCAATACCACCAACCATTCGGGGCCATTTATTTTCTCCCACAGAGGACTTTGGTTCAAGTCTTAGAAGTGCTAAAACTTCCTCCATCCTTCTCTGAAAAAGCCCCTTTCCTAATTAGCAGCTGACATTGATGTCTGTCATTTTCAGAAACACCTTCTAGCTGAAGGAGAGGCCCAGGTGTATGTGTAGTTTACATGCTAAATACTTTGCAGAGAACTCTGTACAGGGCTCACTCACCAGGCAAGCTGGAGTTGACCTTCCCTCTCCAGTTTCGGGTCAAGTTTAGTGGAACTAAAGCAAGAGCAGTGGCACTAGAGACATTATGTAGATATTTTATCTGTTAAATGGCTCAGGGTTAGAAAATTCTGTTCAATCCCTAAGCAGTCAAGGAAAATCCATTCTTATTGCGTTGATTTATTTGGTAAAAGCACCAGCTGCTTTTACCAAATAAATCAACGCAGTAAGAATGGGTATAGACCAGCTGCGTCTATACCCTGACTCTGCCACCAAACTTAGTTAAGACCTTGAGCAAGTCATTTACTCTATTTTTTCATCTGTAAACATATTTGGACTGTCCAGGAGCTGAGCTGCTTTCAGACAAGTCCATGAGAATAGGGGAGGGTTACAATACTATGTGACTACTCTGGAAATCTGCTCTAGGCTGGGTCTCCCTCCACCAGCAACCCAGGCCTTGAAGACCCTTGCTTATAGGATTAAGTGGTGATGGGAGGCAAAAAAGGGCAGGAGGAGAATAGTTTCCTGGCCCCTTAGTGAGTGAAGGAGAGTTTCAAGCCTTCCTTCAGTCCTCTCAAAGACCTGGAGCTCTCCGTAGCACCATATTCTGGGGAATGGTGGCATGGTCAGGAAGCATGGCTCTGCCTGCATCTGCCCTACCTGCACCCTGGACTCGGGCAAGTTGATTTTCAGTGCCACCTCCTCTCGCATGAAGATGTCTGGGTACCGGGTCTTGGCAAACAGTGCTTCCAGCACGTCTAGCTGCGCCCGAGTGAATGTCGTCCTCTCCCGGCGCTGTTTCCGGGGGGTGGCTGCGGGACAAGAAGCCCAGGGCCCTTTAGGGTGGGGGAGCAGTTTCTCAGTCAAGGCGTTTCCGCGGGTTCTCCGACACCCCTACCCCCTACCCCGCAGCAATCCCCAGCTCCTCACAGCCCTTCAGCCGGGAGCCTACCAATGCTCTTCCCACCGCCTCCCCAGCCTTGCTCCCCGGGGACCCAGGACACATGCTGCTTCTTTCCCCACTCCTCCTGGTGTTGAGATTGCTCCAATCAGACTTGGAAAGTCCAATGAAACATTTCTTAAAAGACACCCCCCAATTTTTTTTTTTTTCTCCAAAAATCAACTCCCAAACCACAACACAAAAAAGGCTATTCCATGAAATCAAAGGATCTCCGAGGGCAGACGGGCAGTTCAAATCGATGGGGGAAGTCTGAATCCTGCTCTCTGGGTTTTTAGCACACCAAGGGCCTTTGTTCCTCCATCTTTAAAATGGGGACATAGTTGATTCAACTTTTCCTTCTAGGAGGATTTTAAACAGATCTGATTGGAAAGGAAAGCATCCGCATTTGGAGGAAGTCACACCTCTTGGGATTAAAGCAGGCCCTGGAAGTCAGAGGGGAAGGCCCGGGCCTGGACCGAACAACTGCAAAGCCCGAGGGTCCTAAAGACTTCCGGAGAGAAAGCTCAGCTTCTCCAAAAGGACACTTCTGAGGGCTGGGGCATCCAGATATGGGCAGGGGTCTTTTGCACAAATGTCAAGGACAGTAACCTTCTTCATCCCGCTCTGATGCCAATCCCTTATTTACTCGAATTAAGAATCAAATGATGCGATTGTAACTGTTGCAGACCCACCTACTCACTTCTCCCAACCCCTGTTCTCTGCTTAGTCAGTAAATGCCCGGGGGCTGCTTCCTCCGAAAGAAAACTTAGTGGAGACCTAGCCTGAAGCTGGGTGGGGACAGTGTGACTGCCAACACCTGTGTTCCAGGGAAATAGGGTGTTGCTTCCCCGGAGGACGGCGTGGGGTAGCGGGGTGCAGGAGTGCAGCAGGGCTCACTTACCCGGGTAGCCCACAGAGGGGTGCAGCAAGTCCATACCCGAAGTGGTCAGACTCAGCCCATTGACTGCGTAAGGCGGTTGCTTAAGATAAGACATCATGCTAAGGTTGTTTGGAGGTGCAAAGTCGGCCGAAATCGGGGGTCCCCAGCTGGAAGATCTTGATGCGCCGGGGGTGGACAGGTTCAGAGTCCTTGGTGGGTGGGAATGGAGCAGTGGAACTAAGGGCAAAGCAAACAAACAAACAGAGGTGCTGGTTTACTGCTTCGGAGGCGGCAGCTCCTCCACGTTCCACCACGAACTTAAAAAGAGCACGGGCTAGGCGAGGCAGAGGCTTTTAAAGGACTTGCAGACACTCCCCCCCCATCCCCGCCCCCACCCCCAGCTGCTCTGAAACTAGAGGGGATGGAGGGAGACCAGATAAACCTGTCTTCCCCACCCCCACCCCAAAATTTAAAAAAATGTACCCGAAGAAAGCAATTACAATCTGCCTTCCCCAAGAACAAAACCCCACGCCTTCAAATGCACACATTGCATTCCTATCCCTACATTTGCATAGGACTCATTGGCTGGCACTAGCTAATTGTCTCAAACAAAACTTGATTGGGGCCATTTGCAGAGACAAAGAACTCTTTGGCTAAATAAATAATGCTGATAACAAAGCCCATTGGTGAGAAACAAAGAAACAATTCAAGAAATCTACCTCTCCCCAGACTGTTGCCTTTCCGTGGCAGAGATTTTAATTATCTTAGCTTTTTACCACTTCCAACTGCTGCGAAGCTAAAATGTCAGTGCATTTAACATCTAAAATACCAACTTACTAAATGACAAACTTGGAAAAACTGCTCAACCGCTATTATTCCACATTTGAAGTCATTTCCGGTAATCATTTTCACCTAATTAGTAGTCTGGATAATTAGATTTCGAGGTAAGTAACAGATTTATTAGGGTTTTGGAGAACCTTGATTATATGTGTCTAAAGAACGAAAGCTAAACAAACAAGTATTTAACTTTTAATAGACACCCATCAAATATTTAAACATATTGCAAAAAAGTCTTCAAGATTGGCACAGGGCTTGCCAGAAATTGTTAAGTTAGAATCCCACCAATCAGATAACGATGGGGCCCCACATTTGTAGTGCAAGCTGCTTCCATGTTGATTTTGATGTGTGGAGGCTGCAGATCCTGCGGGAGGCAAATTTTCAGACATTTGGGTCCTCGGCAGCTGCAGAAGAGTTTCCTGTTAACACTAACTGCCTTTTGTACATTTTAGTTTTAAAGAAAGTAGATACGCAAATATCCCAAGTTGTGAAACTAATAGAATTTCTCCCTACCGTTCAAGTTCCCTACAATCCTATGAGAAAAAGAGCTCAAGGGGAGAAAAGAAAGAAAGAGGAAAGTTATTTACTTTCTTCAGCTGAGCTCCCCCCCTCCACCCCAGCAAAGAGATTCAAAGTAGATGTTAATATAGGCTGGCAGTTTGCAAGTCTGCCTTTTATTTTCCTAAAATGTGGCACTTATATGCAAGGATCTCTACTTTGAAACTTTGACACCATGAAAGATTGCTTCAAAATGGCGGATACAACATAAAGGTCTTACTGAGTTTTAAGGACTCCGGGTTTTCATATTTACGTTGTTTAAGACAGCAAGGCACCAAAGTCCATAAATGAAACTCGCTAACTTCTGTCTGATTTAAATTCGGAGCACAAAAGTCATTCTTTTCTAACCTAAGATCTAATTTAATGTAATTTTATAAATGTCTTTCATGGAAGAGTTTGTATTATCCTCAGTAAAACTAATTTGGTTGCCCCTACAATACAGACTTTATATTTTTGCATGGTCTTTTCTTTTCAAAATGCTGTTCTTTGGAGGCTGTGAAAGTAAACAAAAATCTCCAGTTTAGAGGCTGTTTAAACACGTATATGACTGTATTTTAAAGCAGTCATATATGTGTTTAAACAGCCTCTAAACTGGAAACTTTTTGTTTAATCGTACTACCTTGCAAAGTTCTGAACTGCAGTACTATAGAGAAACATAAAATCATATCAGATGTACCCATGAGAAATATGGAAATGTTCTTACATGTCGAGCTCTCACCCAATTAGAAATGCCTGACACATCGTACAATAAAGTAGCACATTCCAACATAAAAAGCAGTAACCGACAGAGAGCACCCGGGCTGAGATCCTTCCAGGAGCTCCTTTGCTCTTACCATTGAAAAATGGCTACAATTCTCGGAAGAGACTATTTTCACTTTTGCTCCTGGATCCACCTTTAAAAGGAAAAGAGGAAAACCAAAAACCAAAACTAAGAGATTCTCTCCGCAGCCGGCCTAGGTCTGCACTTTGCATAGAAGGCATGGGCCCTTCCATCTAACTTTCAAAGCCCTTTTCCTCTCGAATCAGAGTCCAGAAGAGGGGAAAGAAATAACTTTTCCAAAATCTACGCCTCACTGTGACTGCTCACGAGGTGGCCTCTGGAGAACTCATACCTAGAAGCTGACCACGGTCACGCGGTGAGTCCAGGCAGCCGGTCGGCGACCGTACCTCCGGGCGCGAGTGCCTGGGCCTTGTGTCCCTGCCGGCAGCCCCGCAGCCCCGCAGCCCCGCAGCCCCGCAGCCCCGCAGCCCCGCAGGCCTGGCGCCCGAGGTCCCGCTCCACTGCCAGCGTCGCCCGCGCAGCCTTATATCTAACGGTCAATTCCTGCAATCTGTCGCTTCCCCCTCCCCCCTCGCCTTTTTTTTTTTTTTTCTTCCAAGAAGCCCATCTACCAGTTGCTGTGTCCTCGCTCAACAATAATTACCTCGTCCGAGAATTAATTATAATAAATGTTTTCTTGATAAACTAACGAGATAATCCGAGGGGCACACGTCCCTTAATTACAGGCCGCCATGCTCCGCTCTGCTTCTCGTCCGGGCTGATTAATTTTCTGCATGACGGAAAGGAAACAAAACGACGCGGACTGGCGACTGGCCTGAGGCTGGAAAGACGACGAAGAGGAGGAAAGAAAGAAAAAGGAGACGTGTGGGCACCGCGGAAAACGGCGGGCGCTGGCCTCTCTCCGGCGAACTCGAGTGAAAGTTTCTGGCCTCGGGGAATCAAACAACTCTGCCACCCGCGAGGGAGGGAGGAATAAACGTGCCAAAAGGGTTGGCCTTGACTATTAATTATCCTTGGGAGAAAGCCCCGGTGTTAGCAGCGCTGAGGTCTGGGTGTCTACCTTGCTCTGGGGGGAGGAGTTTCCGCTCCTGCTCCTCTCTCGTGCTAATAACTTTTGGTGCCTGGAAAAAGTCTCGAGCTGAGCAGGAGAAATCCCGACCCGCAAAGCCCCAGGATGCTGGGGAGAATTTCAAGGAGCAACTTCCCCGTCCCCTCCCCAAGCAATCCGCTACCGCAGGGTCAGCGCCGCTCGGCCTTCGCTCCCCGCGTACCACTTCGGCCTGGGAAGGAGGCAAACGCCAAGTCGGTGGAATTCTGACGGAGCACTTGGGTTTCCAAAAATGGGTCCCGAAATCGGGCATCGATTTCAACAGTCACCTGAACGCAGCAAAGCGAAGACTTCTTGGGAGTTTGCAGCGCGACCCGTCGCCCGGGTCCGGAGCTGGCAGAGACCTTCTGATGGTTCTCACTGAGCAGACCCAGGGCACAAGCTGGGCCTCGGCGAACCCCTCCGCCCCCGCCCGGCCCCGACCCACGACACCTCATTGTCCCCGAGCCTGAACCTGGGAAGGAGGTGCGGGAGCGCGCGGGAGAGCCCTGCCGCTCTCCGCCAGAGAACAGCTGAAGGGCCGCAGTCCCAGCAAGAGGATTCCCGTCCTCGGCCCGGCCGCGGCCTCGGGCAGAGCAGGGGCCACTCGTTGCTACTTCTGCCCTTCCCAGGTGCGCGCGGAGGGCGACTTGGGGCGGGCCGCGAACCATGCCCGGCAAAGTCCTGTTGAAAAACCACTCTTCACGTTCGCTCGGCCTGGTGACCCGGGTCGGGGATCAGGACAACCAGGGGTGGGAGTGGGGGGACTGCGTAATTGCAACCCAAGGTGGTTTGGTTTTGGGGGATGGTGGGTGTTTAAAAACAAAGAGGAGACCTGGAAGCTTTTGGAAGAAACAAAACCGAGCTGCGTGAGGCTGAGGGATAGGAGGCCGAAAAAAGCGAGCGGCGAGCGCCGGGGCGGACGACAAGCCAGCGCTCCCGTCCTCCTCGGTTATCCGCTCGGGTTTCCGCTCACGTTCATCAGGGGCAGGCAGGGGCTCGAGCGGCGGCCCCTGGCCCAGGCAGACCTGCAAGCCAACCGGGTTTCCGGCGCGCGAGCCCAAGGAGGCGCCTGACTTTTTATTATGGTTGTTTCAATCCATCTATCTAGCTACATCTGCATCGTTTTGTCTCGGATTCTAAAAACGTCCTTGGGATCCATCCAAACGACCCCAACCCAATCTAGGGGCCAAAACGCAAAGATCGCGGGGAGAAGCCCAGAACGGCGGAGACGTAAAAGCAAAACCACAAACAAAACCGTCCAAAACACCCAGATTACACTCGCAGCGTTTAGACGTTTTGCAGAAGCGACGACCCCCCCCAGGAGCACACTCTCTGCCTCTCCCACTCCCGCTCTCATCTCCAGATCACATTTCTTTTTTGCAGCGATCGTTGTTAGGCCTCAAAATTTGTAAGAGAAAATAATGCATCCGCCTACAGAACTCCACGTTCCCACAGGGGCATCGGTCGGTCTGTTGGAGGTACTGGGGTGATGGCCGACAGACACCGGTACACGTAGATATAGATAGACAAGACAGACGGACACTTACCTTACAGCCTCATGGGAGGTTAGAAAAAGTCAAATATCCTTCAAATTCCAAATAGCCAGCTATCCTAAAAGAAATCAAGAGTATTGAGTTAGAAACGTTGTAGTCTTCACCCTTCCATGAAAAGTCAAACACAACCAAAAAAATATTTTAAGAACAAAAAATGAGGAAGGCGGCTAGAGTTCTAAACACGCGTGGGCCCTTCTGCAATACATACAAAGTATATGCGGTGAGTGAGGGCTGCTCTAGCAATTTTTATTTTTAATCACAGTGGAGGCTGAGTTGGAGCTGAGGTCGGTCCCGCTCTCAGGGAGATTTGCTGAGAAAGCGCCTCTCTGGCAACTTTTTGACGCAAACTCTCCAACCAATGGCAGGGAGAGAATGATTGACACATCTAAGCCAGAGGGAAAATAATAAAAACACACAACAGGGGGAGGAAAACAGGCCGCTGCTGCACCGGGGGATGAGCCGGCAACAAATCCAGGCTTCCGACATTACCAGAATGTTCTTTAAAGACACTGGGCTCCGCTTAAAATATACATTATGGGCCGGAGCATGTGAACTAATTGTATAATTAAAATGATGGACAGGGAGTTCTTCTCTTACCCTCTTTTTCTCTGGTTCCTTTACTCTGAAATTTCCTTTCCCCTTTCCTTTGTGTTTTTTTTATTTTTAGGGAAAGGAAGAAAGGAAACCCATACAATGTAAGATGGGAAGATAAAAATATTTAAGTAAATGCTGGAGCAGCGCGGGGGGCGGGATCGGGGGGAGTGACTGGGTTATCACATTCAAGGCCAGCAGTAAGGGTGTGGATGAGAGGCAGAAAGCAAGTAAGACTGAAACTCAAAAACACTGCTATGCCTTCTCAAACAGGGCCAGAGCACGCTGACGGCCAGAAAGGGCAAAAGAGGGAGGCCTGGAGTGCCATGTGGGCATGTAGGGAAGACAGAGAGATACACCAGTCCAAGAACAAACTATTTTCTAAAACTCAGTCTCTTCTCTCTTTCCTACCCCGTTATAAATATCTTTAGACATACAAATAAATGATCCCTGAGTGAGACACCCCGGCTTCTGGTAGGCGCCTGGGTGTTTTCTGGAGTTGAGAAGCCCAAGACTGACTGTAGGGAACACGAACCCGGGAATCAAATCACAGGGCCCATTTAGGGGAAGTAGCTGGGGCCACATCAGGCCTCGAGGATGCGAGTGTGAGGTCGACAGGATGTCGAGAAAGGGAGCGAACGAGGAAGGCCCCCGTTGGAAACAGTTTCTGTATTAGAACAAACGCCACCAAACGCCGGACACTGCGAGGCCTGGAGCTAACTGGGCTGGCGCCGCCCGAGCCCCGAGCGGAGAGCCAGGAGGCTGGGAAGTGATGGGAGCTGGGGACCCGAGCCAGAGAGTGCGACCTCCAGCCCAACTTTTTTGCCTGGCACAGAGATCAGAGACCGGACAGGTTTCAAACGGATCTGAGTCCCTAGAAAAGCAAAAACAGACTGGGCAGAGTATGCGGGGAGGGATAGCGGAATTGCTGAGTGGATGTGAATAAGGGGGGGGGGGAAGTGGAGGGAGCAGAAAACAGCTCTTCCTTCTCAACACCCAGTGCAGGAAAAGAAAAATAAAATTCTTCCTGAACACCCCCCCACACCCCGACCCCGCCAACCCCCACCACCACCAACTACCATCACCACCACTGCTAGTGGGCCCAAAGAAAGAGCTCGCTGCCTTTAATTTGGGGACCTATGTTAATGAAGTTGGTAATTAATTCGTCGCTTTGTTGTCGGTTCTTATACTGTATGTGTAATCAAATGTGGCCGTCCTTGGGATTTACAGCAATTAACGAATTACGGGAGTGCGCACGAGGCAGCAAGCTCTCTGCAGCCGGGCTGGGCTCCGGCTCCGGCTCGGCCTGAGGCTGGGGACTCCGTGGCCGCGGCCCCAGTCACAGGTGTCTCTAGAGCTTTGGGCCCTGGCGGTCCCTCTAGTCCCCGAGCGGCCCGGGGCCCGCCCAGCTCCTTCCCGGCCCTCTGCTGCAGCTCCAGTCCGGAGACCCGCTGGTTGTCGCGTTCCCAGGAGTCAGGACTTTCTGGGGGCCCGGGCGGGGGGGAGGGTGAGTACCGATCTGTACCGATCTTTTTTCTCACCCCACCTCCACTGTACTGAAACACCTGGTGACCGCCCCCTCCCCCCAAGCCTTTAATGGGGGTGGTGGTAGGGAGGGGTTACTAATGCCCCAGGAGTTTTGGCCCTAGTGGCGCTGGCTGTCGGAGGCACTGGTTGGGTGCGCTTGGTCAGAGTTGTGATGCTTTCGATGAAGGAAAGGCAAATACACCCCGATCGCCTCAAGCAGAGCCTCTTTCCTACCCCTACAAAAGACGACGTTTCCCCTAGTTTGATCACAATGATGTTTAAAGCATAAAAGAACGGAAAAAGAAAAATGGACGTTGTGAATTTGGCAGAGCGGAAGGTCGTAGGGAGGCCCTGGGGACAGTCGGGATGGGGTGGGATGGAGAAATATCAGAACAGGCGCTTATGATCTCCACCAAGTAAAAAATTTTGGATTGGGAGATCCATCTGCTGTAGGGTCCAGTGTCCAGGGAAACCTTTCAAGTCCGATGTAGAGGTTTGCGATATCCTCCCAGATGGCGGGGGCAGCTGAACCTCCCTAAAAATCTCCCTGTTCTGTTCGACAGGGGCAGATTTATGTGTGGCGGGGCGTCAGAGGGCTTTTGCCCTTCCAGCGGCCGGCAGCAGACAGCTCCGGCTTCTCCTTTGCCCTCTAGTCTAATAACTTCTCAGAAATACAGGGCCAATAAACTACGAGTTGGAAATGGACAGTGTTAAATAAACAAGGGTCTCTTTAAAATTCTCATCCACTTCAGATGTCTAAAGTAAGATTGTGATGATTTTGTCACGGTTTGGTAAATTTACCCCTTTAAGAGGCTTTCATAAATCCCAGAACACACCTTCAGCCAGATTTGAATATAGATTTAGGTTTTAAAACCCAGAAGCTGGAAACACCGCTTTATCAAAGAGAATTTCCCTTTAGCTTAGCAATGTGCTGAAGCTCTTAAAAGATTGGATCTGAGAGAGAGAGAGAGAGACAGACAGAGAGGAGAAAGAGAACTAGAGACAGGGAGGCAGACAGGGAGGGGGGGAGAAGACTTTCTTTTTCTTTCTAGAGGAATTCTGCCCAGAGTCTGCAGCAGTTGGTAGCAGGCAAGCTTTCTCCTGGGTGTCGCCTGGAAAAGTTGCAAAATTGCTCTTCACCTGTAAGAACATGCTCTTTATCTTCCAGTCTCTTCTTGTCAATTTGGAAATCGCAGACAGCCCGGCTCAGGTACAGTCCCCACAAACCCTATTCTAGGTCAGGACAAAAGCCACTGGCTTTGGGAGAAGGGGGTTGGGCTCTTTTACTGAAAACCTTAGATGCTTGGTGGGAGAAAAAGACTCTTTGGATGAAAAGTCTAACTCTTGAGTTTCAGTAAGTTCCTGAACTTCCAATTTACTTACTATCTGTTCATTGTATTTCTATCTGTGTTTAACTTTTTTTCTATGTCCTGTGTCTTTAACCTTTTGTTTTTTTATGAATCTGACTTATGGTAGCATGCTTTGTGTTTTTAACAATTTTCATTAACAAGTGGATGGTTTATAATTGCCACTTGTACAATTATTTTACTATGCATATGACATATAAGCATTCAGAAGCTAAATTAAGAAAATCAATATGAAGGGAATCAAATTATTTGTCAGAGCTTGCACGCAGTTTCCAGAATATGGTGATATTCATATTTTGAAATCAAGATGCATGTGTGGCACTAACTAGGCTCACTTTCTCCACCCCACAAGCCAGGCCAGTTTAAAATATTCCAAACTTTCCTCCAAGTTTATTAACTTTGGTGGGGGGGGGGATGGGGGAGGGGGAGGGGAGAGAAGACATCCCGGGATTCTTCCAGGCTAATTAAAAAAGAAGAACAAAACCCATATTCCGTGAGAACATAGCCTCTTGGGGGAAAGGAGCCAGTTAGACTTCCTTTACACTTCAGAAATATGAACATTAATTTCCAATCTTTTCAGCAATTCAGTGAAGAGAGAGGGACTACATTTTGCCTTAGAAGCACCGTAATATCCAGAAAGGAGTCATTTTTTCATTAGGTTGTTAGATTGTCTTTAATATAAACTTTAACGAGATTAACCTTAACCTTTTAGTTTTTTAAACAAGGATTTAAGTGTTTTTTTTTTAAACAAGAATTTAAGATTGGCAACGCAGACAGAATTTAAGGGAAAAAATAAGGCAACAGATCACTTGTAAATTAAGCTTGGGTCTCTCCCTCCCTGTATTGCGGTTGCCTCAGAAAAGAGGGTAAGAGAAAGAAACAACTTCAAAGATAGGATTGGGCCGTCTCGATAAAAGAGTAGGGAGGCAAACTCCAAATGCGAAAGGAGGAAAAGAGGACCATGTTGTTCCGGAATGAAACGGATTAAGATTGTGTGACAAGTGCGAGATGTGGGGCTGTGAGACATTTATGAGCAGGGTGTGAGCCGGGAGCTGTGCATCTGTCCCTGAGAGTGTGGGGACCAAGGGTGTGTGTAGAGCAAGGTTATGGTGAGGGATAGGAAGGGCATGTGTGGATGTGAGACCGAGAGAAGTGTGAGGTGGGGTGTTTGTGTGTGTCTGTGTGTGTGTCAGAAGGGTGTGGACGGGAATGTGGATAGATTGATGAAGGGTGGTAGCTGTCAGTTTACATAATTTTCATCTCCTGGTCCTGAAGTTTCCTTGAAATCAATTCTACTGCAGGCAGCAGCCTTGAGCATACAGAGCTGATATAAAACAACCATTACAGTCCAATATCTTGCCTGTTTGCAAACTTCATTTAAAACTGGGGGAAAAAAGACCCAGGAATGGTTTTGTAAGAAAGGAAAAAAAGAAGAAAAGAAAACCACAGTGAAGCTTTAAACTAGTTTGGATAAATCTCTAATCTTTTATTTGTAACCTTTTACAAGCTTTATTTCCCGTATATGAAAAGCTTCTTTTATATGGGTACGACAGACTTTTCCTTTGGATTTTTAATTAGGGTCCATCAATTGTAGCCATATTTAAGAATCAATATGAAGTAATCCTTCGAGATGGGATAAGGTTTTAATCGAAAATCTAATTTCCCACTCTTTGCAGATCATTTTAAGGGGTTGGTTGATTAAAAAAAAGGGGGGGGGGAGTTCAATTTTTAAAAGACATAACACCTAAAACCTGGAAAAGATCATGTCTACAAGAAACCAGCTGATGTTGCCTTACAAAGAAAAAGTCTGGCTGTTGTTGGGAACTTTTTTTTTCTACTTAGAAGAATTTGACTTGTTTTTTTCTCAAACAGTATTCCCTAATGTGGCTCCTATGAGAGAATTCACATTGAATGGGGGAAAGAACAAGATAGAAATTGTTTGTTTGAAACATATTTCATATGCAAAAGATAGCAACATAAATTTTTTATTAACAAAGAAAACATAGATCTTGACAGATCCCTTTCACTATATGTTCCTAAATTCTCAAGATTAGAGAATGAATAACACACACTTTTTCACTGTTGTTCATGGATGCAAACTTTCCATTTTCAGATCCAGGATGAATATTTCTGACCAATTTTAAAACTTCAAAATTAGAACTTTGCAATTTTTGATTTTTTTTGGGGGGGGCAACAATTGAAAAGCTGCTTATTTCAAAGGCATAGAATTTTAAACAGTTTTACCAGAGTCAATGGCTTTCAATTTGTCTTAAAAGAGAAAAGAAAATGAAAGCAGGCAAGAAAGGAAACAAACAAACAAACAAACAAAAACGAATTGTAGCTGCACAGACCAGACCCTTTGTGCTCCTGAAAGATTAATCCGAGGTAACTGTTCAAAGGCCGAACATTATCTAAATGTGTATAGTGCATTTCCAACATTCACCGCTTAGTTTAAGATCTGCAAATCATCCGTAAACTAGAAGGGACCCCCCCCCCAAAAAAAGTTAATAGTGTATTTTCAGGCAGTCACTATACTTTTACAAACTCTTGTATCTGTTACGTACATTTAGAAAAATGAACTCATTATGTTTGCTTTTAAAAATCTGAATGAAGCGTGTTTCAACATATTTGATAGCCATGCTTTTCTTTTATCTGCAGAAATTTCAATTTATTTAAAAGCCTGGCGTTTAATGCACTACATGACCGCATGAATTTTAGAGAAGCCCTCTTGTATTTCTCTGTAATCGTGTCTAATGAAAACCTGGGATTTTCCATTTATTTTTTAAAAAGTGAAAATATAATGCATCTTCATTAGGAAATTGACTGCTGTGCTCACAACAGTTCTTAATTGAAAAGGCAACCTATTTTAATGGTGTGGTTGAGAAGAAGATTACATACTTTATCCAAACACAAAGACAATTAATAATGAGAAGCAGGCTGCTGCCATTAACTCTAATGCAGTTGCATCAATGTCAGTGAAAAGTGCTCATACCTGAGATACACGGTGCAAACTCCCCCGGCTCCCTCCTTTCCCAATTCACCCACTTCTTAAATTTGAGTTTCTTAATGTGCAAGCGCCAGGGCCGGCTGTGGTCAGGCGGGCTATTTTCTAGCAAGTGCGGCGCGGGACTGGACGCCCCTGCCCGCGGGTCGCCGGGTCTCGAGCTGCACCGCCCCGCTGAAGGCGCCGGGGCTGCCTGGCTCTCCGCGCAGACCTCGCGCCTTTCCGTTTGTGCGCGCGGAGCCGGGTGAGGGCGGCCGCGGCCCCCGCGCGATGGAGGATTTGGAGGCTCAGAGCCGCCGGGTACATTTTGAGAAGTTTAACAAACCGGACTGGGCTGCCTCGGAAACTGGGATCTGTTCTGACTCATTTGCAGAAAAGTTACTGGGAAAAACATCTTGTAAAATTAAGGTTATGTTTGGCGGGTACAGTCTTGAGCGCACATGGTCATCCGGCGAATCAGCCAAGTTTTCCAAAGCGCCCCCTCTCCAGCTCTCAGGCCAGGGGAGCAAAGCGTACGTGCGTGTGCGCGCGCGCGCGCGTGTCTGTGTCTGCATGTGTGCTCGCGAGCGCGTGTGTGTTTGGGGTGGGGGGACATCCCGACCTTTCTACACCCTAGTACGTCCCAACTCCAGGCTGGGAGGAGACGTCGGCGGCCTTTGGTAGTCTTTTCGCATCGTGGCGAGGTGCGACCAGCTGAGACCTCACGCCAGCCGCCTCGGACCCTGTGCGTCGAGCTAGGGGAGCCAGCGCCGGACGGGGAGACCTCCGCAGTCCCAAGACCCTCAGGGCCATTACAGCTTGCGGAAGGGGCTAACTCTGGTCTCCACAAGGTGGTTCGGGGTTTGCAATAGGGTAGGCCCCTCTTGCTTGGCGTCTTACACCCCTCGGAACTGACTCTGCCCGGGCCTCTTCCTTAGCACAGTCTCCCAGCTAAGGCTCCGACAGCCGGGGAAGGGGGCTCTCCCATCAGTATTCCCCACAACCAGTCCCAGTTTGAGCCAGGGCGCGGCTGCAGGCTGACAGGCGCTCCATGACCAGGCCGTCACTTCCCTTCACCTAAGGTTAGATGGGGAGCGCGCACCTTCTGGGGAGTTCCCAAAGCTTCTCGCTTTGATTAGCCACGCGCAGTGCCAGAGAGAGAGATTGCTGGGGTCTGAGTCCGTGGGAAGTGTCGAGAAGCGAGAAGAGAAGAGCAGGTAGTTAGACTTCGGCGGCTGCCCTGCGGACACTTGCACACATCCAGCCTCGTGGAGGAGGAAGGACCCTGTCTCCAAAGCCCGACTGAATACACTTCCCTCCCTTGAGGCTTAGCCTCAATGGAAAGCCCCTTCCACAAACGCACGCTTCCCTCCGCAGCCCTCGGTATCCTGGGGCCAGCTCTGTCGTCCCTCAGTCAAGCATACCCCACTCTCTTCCCTGTTTCCGTCTATTTATGTGCAGACTTCCTGTAGACTTGCCACTTCTGTGATTTTGCCCACAAGCTAGGGGGCCTTTTCAAGGCTCTGAAGACAAGCAGACCTGGAGATTTCCACCAAGCACCAGGTGCCTCCTCTCCCTCCCTTAGGGCAGGTGAGTCTCTAAAACATTGTAGCCTCCTTTTGGTGAGAGCCAACTATCAGCTACTTGATCTGGTCTAGGAATCTTCTGGCCTCCTTTCCAGCTTCAGTGTTGGATAAGCCTCCTTGCATGATGTATCTAGAGTTTCACCTGTTCTTTTAAAATAGCCTTTTCAGATGGCAAACCTTGAAGTATTCAGTTACTATTTATCAACCAAGCCCTAGTTTCTGCTTTTGGTGAGGCCACGTGTGTCAGCTGGAGTAAGAAGGGGCCCAGGTTTCC